TGGAGAAAAATGAAAAAATTGTGATAAAGGATTATACAAAAGAGATGAATATTGGAAAAAATTGAAAGATTAAGAAGTATTATAATTATGATTTGATTATGATTATGTATAAATGTGGCCCAGTCAACACTCTGTTCATAAAATATGTATGATAAAAGAATTTTTTTTAATAAAACTTATTTTTTTAAAAAAAGAAACTTTGGATTCAATTGTGGTCGTAAACTGAAGAGTTTCTGAACTGAACTCAGAATGCAACTATATGTTTATCAGTATATTTTACTGAATTTTGTAATGCAACCCAAAAACGTAAATAAAGGTATCTTTCTAAGGGAACACAAAAATACAGCTGTGGAAGCGAATTATTGACAAGGGTATATCAATCATTTGCTAAAGGCATATCCTAAGATATATATAGATATAGATATAGATATAGATATAGATATAGATATAGATATAGATATAGAGATAGATAGATAGATAGATAGATAGATAGATAGATAGATAGATAGATAGATATGCACAAAAATACATTTTTATGCACGTCTTTAAAAATTGTGTTTAAAAGCAAAGGCAACAGTGGAGCTTAAGGTTGGAAATGAAGAAACGGAGCAAAGCCCGATCTGGTAGATATGGCCTGTCTCTATGGCTACAATTACTCATGTTCTTTTATTAAAATAATTTCTGCTAGTTAGCCTCAAGTGGAATGAGAAGACTGTTTTTCATATTGAGTCTTAATTGCCCTTTTAAAAATATTTTTAATAATAACTATGCTATACTTTTGACTTGAATGCCTGGAACAAAATGCTGAATTCTAAGTTCCCCTCACAAAAGATTTATCTAATGGCTTTTGAAAATTCGACATTTTTTTTGGCTGAGATCATACGCTGTGCTAAAAGCAGATTTTGCTTGAACTTCAATTGGATCAGTTCATCTAATACATTAAGCCCTAAACTGTAAATTACACACACACACACACACACACACACACACACACACACATATATATATATATATATATATATATATATATATATATATATATACACATATACTGAAAAGGCGCTTGAGGCCAAGAGGGAGCCGACTGGCTTAAGGTTCGACACCATATTTCTTCCGTGAGGCTAAATCGAACTGGGGGTGGGGGGGCCCTGTATATTTTTATCCTCGCGCGTCTGTTTATTTCGAACGTAATCCGTCAGGCAGAACGATGTCATTTGCTTATTGACGTTTCTCCAGCGGTTAAGTATCGCCGCCTTTTTTTAAAAGGCATTTATAAATATTTATTGTTTCGCCGTAATGATTGCTGAAGCCGGATTAAAGCTCTTGAATGACTCATAGAGGGGCTTCAGCGGTCAGGGCACGGCCGGCAGCTCTGGGTGGGTGGGTGGGGGTCTTCCTCTCTCGGTGCCCCCCATCAACCCTCAAGTTCTGGAGCAAATCAAATCCAACCTTTGGAGCTGCTTGTCAAGATAAATTCATAAAGGTAACATCTCAGCTCGTGACGCCTGGCAGACTTGATTAAATCAGCATGCCGATGTCTTTTATTGTTATTAAACAAGTGCTGGAGCGGAGGGCAGTCCTCGTCTTACGACCGCAATGGAGCCCCACATTTGTGTCGCTAGGCGAGAAGGGTCGTTAAAGTGAGCTTTGCCCGGTTTTTACGGCCTATCTCGCCACCGTGGCTAAGTGAATCCCATCGGCGGCTGTTCAGTTAGTAACATGGTCGTTAAGCGAATCCAGCTTCCCCCCTCCCTTGATTTTGCTCATCAGAAGGGGATCGCGTGACACCTCCCCCAACCACCCCCCTGGGGACACTGCGACCGTCATAAATAGGAGTCGGTTTTCGAGCGTCACGTGACCGCGGGGGGCGGGAGGGGAAATGCTGCAATGGTCGTAAGTGTGAAAAGCCGGACATGAGTCACGTGTTTCAATGCCGGGCAACTCTGAATGGTCACTAAATGAAGGGTTATAAATTGAGGACTCAATGTAAACAAGCATGAATAAACATTTGAAGGGTGGTGGGTTGGAATTGGTTAGGTCAAAGGTGGGCAGCTGAGCACGGCTGGCTCGGGAATTCTGGGAGTTGAAGTCCACAGGTCCTAAAAGGGCGATATTTATATCCTTGCTTGTACTGTATGTCACGTAAACCCCAGCCCTTTTTTCCCCCCTCACCCCGAAAATTGGAAATTTCCATGTTTGAGCTCCAAAGCCAGAAGGGGAAACATGGCTGGCTGGGGAATTCTGGGAGTTGAAGTCCAGAGGTCTAAAATTGTTCAGATTGAGAAGCACTGGGGGAGACTTTCTATTGGGGTAGCCTCCAAGGGTTTCTTCCCACTGAAAATCCAGCCGAAGAGCTATAGGCCTCCTGTGGTACGCCAACAGGTGGGGGGGGGGCTCCCATTCCCCCCACACATACACACACATATTCCAGGCCCTGCAATTTACCCAGAGCAGAGTGACACCGTCTTATAATTGATGGAGTATAAATCTCCATTGGCGACTCCCCACTGTGGATGGCGTCGTTATGGTGGGGAAGCATCTGCAATGCAGAGTTGGGCTCCCAGTTGATTCAGTCTGGATACTTAGGGGAGGTGGGGGGAGAGGGAGAGGGGGAGGAAGGATGGATGGATGGAAGGAAGGAAGGAAAGGAGAGAGAAAGAAAGAAAGAAAGAAAGAAAGAAAGAAAGAAAGAAAGAAAGAAAGAAAGAAAGAAAGAAAGAAAGAGCAAATGAAGAGAAGGAAGGAAGGAAGGAAGAGAAAGAAAGAAAGAAAGAAAGAAAGAAAGAGCAAATGAAGAGAAGGAAGGAAGGAAGGGAGAGAAAGAAAGAAAGAAAGAAAGAAAGAAAGAAAGAAAGAAAGAGAAAGCAAATGAAGAGAAGGAAGGAAGGGAGAGAGAGAGAAAGGAAGAAAGAGAAAGAAAGAGCAAATGAAGAGAAGGAAGGAAGGGAGAGAAAGAAAGAGCAAATGAAGATAAGGAAGAAAAGATGAAGGAAGGAAGGAAGGAAAGAGAGGAAATGGATGAGAGGAATAAGGAAGTAATAAAAGAGAAAGGAAGGAAGGAAGAGAAAGAAAGAGCAAATGAAGAGGAAGGAAGGGAGAGAAAGAAAGAGCAAATGAAGATAAGGAAGAAAAGATGAAGAAAGGAAGGAAGAGAGGAAATGGATGAGAGGAATAAGGAAGTAATGAAAGAGAAAGAGAAAGGAAGGAAGAGAAAGAAAGAGCAAATGAAGAGAATAAGGAAGGAAAGAAGGAAAGAAGAGAGGAAGGAAATGGATGAGAGAAATAAGGAAGGAAGGGAAGGAAGGAAGGGAAAGAAAGAAAGAAAGAGCAAATGAAGAGAAGGAAGGAAGGGAGAGAGAGAGTGTGTGAGAAAGGAAATAAGAAAGAAGGAAAGAAAGAGCAAATGAAAAGAAGGAAGGAAGGGAGAGAGAGTGAGAAAGAAAGAAAGAAAGAAAGAAAGAAAGAAAGAAAGAAAGAAAGAAAGACCAGATGAAGAGAAGGGAGGGAGGGAGGGAGGAAGAGAGGAAGGAAATGGATGAGAGGAAAAAGGAAGGAAGGAAGGAAGGAAGGAAGGAAAGGAAGGAAGGAAATAAATCCCCAGCTAGATCTACTTTCTTGACCCAGCACAGTTACAGCCACATGGATTGTTAGTTCCAAACCACCTGTGGGGACATTAGTCACGAACCCAGAGGTCATTTAGTCCACCCCAGTCTGAAGTAGAAGCAGCCCATCATCAAATGCGGACACCTGAAGGATTGGAGCAACTGGGAAGCGGGAGGAAGCCCCCGATCCCCCCAACCCAGGGCCTGTCGAGGAGATTTCCCCCTGGGCAGAGGGTCCCTCCGGTGAAGCTGATGTGGGGAGGGGTCTGGTTGGTAACCCCAGGAGATGCCTGGCTGCCCCCTTACCCCAACGGCTGGGTTCCCACGACAGCCTTAACCGGGCGCCTCAACTGCCCCCACTCAGCCCTCAACTAACCCAGGGGGTCCTCCCCTCCCCTCCCCTCCCCTCCCCACCCCTCGGGGTCCTCTCCCAGCTGCAGAGGGTCGCGCCTTCCCCGCCTGCCGGCCCCTTCCATCCCCTGCGCCCGAGGGATGAGCTAAGCCTTGGGACCCTTCACACGAGAAGCCCCTTCCTTCCCTTCCTCTTTCCCTCTTCTTCCTCCTTCTTTTCTTCCTCTTTCTTCCTCCTTCCCTGCTTCTTCCTTCTCCTCCTCCCCTTCCCCCTCCTCCTTTTCTTTCTTTCTTCCTCCTTCTCTTCCTCCTTCTCTTCTTCCCCCTCTTCTTCTTCCTTCTCCTCCTCCCCTTCCCCCTCTTCCTTTTCTTTCTTTCTTCCTCCTTCTCTTCCTCCTCCTCTTCCTCCTCCTCCTTTTCTTCCTCTTTCTTCCTCCTTCTCTTTTTCCCCTCTTCTTCTTCCTTCTCCTCCTCCCCTTCCCCCTCCTTCTTTTCTTTCTTCTTCCTTCTCTTCCTCCTTCTCTTCTTCTTCCTTCTCCTCCTCCACTTCCCCTCCTCCTTTTCTTTCTTTCTTCCTCCTCCTCTTCCTCCTTCCTCCTCCTCTTCTTTCTCTTTCTTCTTCCTCTTCCTCTTCCTCCTCCTCCTCCTCGTTCCCCCTCCTTTTCTTTCTTTCTTCCTCCTTCTCTTCCTCCTCCTCCTTTTCTTCCTCCTCTTCCACCTCCTCCTTTTCTTCCTCTTTCTTCCTCCTTCTCTCCTTCCCCCTCTTCTTCTTCCTTTTCCTCCTCCCCTTCCCCCTCCTCCTTTTCTTTCTTTCTTCTTCCTTCTCTTCCTCCTCCTCTTCTTTCTCTTTCTTCCTTCTCTTCTTCTTCTTCCTTCTCTTTCTCCTCCTCGTCCCCCTCCTCCCCCAGCTCGGATCCCGGCGTCCCCACGATCTGACAGGTACTCGGGGAGGACGAGCAGCCGCGGTGGGCGGGTCGGGGAAAGCGGGGTGTGTGTGTGTGTCGCACGGCAGACCTCTCTCGCTGCCGCCGCCTCCGCCGCCGCCCGAAGCGATGCCAGCCGTTCCTCCCCACGCGACTTAACGGGCAGCCCGTGGCAGGGGCGGTGAGAGCTGGGGAGACGGGGGGGGGGGGGCGCAGGGCATCTCCCCAGCCCGACCGGCGCCGGTGGGAGGGTGGGGGGTGGGGGGTGGGGGTGGGGGTGGGGGAATCACCGTGGGGGGAGGGGGCGTGTCCGCACCTTCCTCTCCAACTTTCCTCGCGTGCTTCCCTTCTCCCGTGGCGTGGGAGGGGGGCGCAAGAGCTTCGGCGGTCGCAGGGGAGGGGGAGACGGGGGTAGGGGGTGGGGGGAAAAGCAGCAGGTTGAGAGGGGAGGGCTGGGCTTGGAGATGGGGGGTCTCGCGGGTTGCCCCGCGGGGAAGGCGCCAATTGGCTGCCCGCGAGGAAGGGGCGCCGTAGCCAGGACGGGGGAGGGGGCGAGATAGAGAAGAGGGGGAGATCCTGGTCGCTCCCCGGCCCCCCCCGAAGAGGTTCCCCTTCGCCCTGAGGATCCCCGACCAGGTAACCCGCTTCGCTTCCTTGCAGGCTGCGCGGAGAGGAGGAGGAGGAAGAGGAGGAGGAAAGCGGGATACTAGAGGAAGAAGAAGAGGAGGAGGAGGAGGAGGAGGAAGAAAAGGAAAGCGGGTTACTAGAGGAGGAGGAGGAAGAAGAAGAGGAAGAGGAGGAAGAGGAGGAGGAGAAAAAGGAAGAGGAGAAGGAGGAGGAAGAGGAGGAGAAAAAGGAAGAGGAGGAGGAGGAGGAAGAGGAGGAAAGCGGGATACTAGAGGAAGAGGAAGAGGAGGAAGAGGAGGAGGAGGAGAAAAAGGAAGAGGAGAAGGAGGAGGAAGAGGAGGAAAGCGGGTTACTAGAGGAAGAGGAGGAGGAAGGGAAGAGGAGAAAGAGGAAGAGGAGGAGAAGAGGAAAGCGGTTACTAGAGGAAGAGGAGGAGGAGAAAGAGGAAGAGGAGAAAGAGGAAGAGGAGGAAGAGGAGGAAAGCGGGTTACTAGAGGAAGAGGAGGAGGAGAAAGAGGAAGAGGAGAAGGAAGAGGAGGAAGAAGAGGAAAGCGGGTTACTAGAGGAAGAGGAGAAGGAGAGAGAGGAGGAGGAAGAGGAGGAGGAGAAAGAGGAAGAGGAGGAAGAGGAAGCGGAGGAGGGTGTCCGCCGTCCGCCTTCGGACCCGGGAAAAGTTCTGGAGGCTGCTGTCCCTTCGTCCGGCGCTTCTTTCGGGGCGCTCTCCCTGCGCCCCACTCCGCTGGCGGATCCCCGTTGTACGGCAAAGCTCGGGCGCTCCGATCGGGCGCGGCAGGGAGCGGGAGCCACCCGGTCTGCCTGCCCCTTGGGAGAAGCCTCGGGACGGCCGAGAGAGAGAGAGAGAGAGAGAAGCCGAGGTGGCGAGGGACCCCTCGAGATCACCCGCACGTCGGGGGGGGCCAGCTACCGCTCGAAGGAAGGCGCCCGTTCCTCCGCCTCGTAACTGATCCCCGAGAAGGCGAGCCGGATTCCCCTCTCCCCTCCCCACGATCCCCGGATCCCTCTGCGCCGCTTTCCAGACGGCTGGGGATCCCACCGGGGGTCTTGCCCTCGGCTCCCCTCCGGATTAGACGAAGCGGGCTCATTTAAGGGGGGAAAACCCCCCTTTTATTTTCCCTTTCCGCATCAGCTGCGAATAAAGGGAAGATTCCCTTAAATCTGGCCTTGGAAAGGAAAGAGGCTGGTTAATCAGTGGACGAGAGACCACTCGGAGATCCCAGGATATTAGCGGTGAAATTTGGGGGGGAAGAAGGGGCAGAGAAGAGAGATTCTCCCATTGGGACCCATTTCCCCCGAAGGAAGGAGAGCGAGGCGATCCTAAAGTGCCGGGAGCCGAGCTGCGAGGATCGATCCCGCTTGATTTTCAATGCCGGATCGAGTCCTGCAAAAAGAGATCGTTTGGGCGGCGGGAAGCCAGTTGGGGTGATGGTGGGGGGGATCTTACAGCCTTCCTGTCCCAACGTTGCAGATCCAGGCAGTGTCTCTTAGTGTCTCCCCCCACTCACTCCCCACCCGTGTTTTTTTTTTTCCTTTTAAAATGAAGCGAACGAAAGAGAGACGGAGGAAAACCCCAGCAAGGGATTAGATCCCGCGAAAACGGATCGAGGAAACAGATTCCCTTTGCCGTGTTACCTTGAACTCCGTTTTTTTCCCCTTGCCCCGGGTGGGAAAAATTCAGCCGGGCGTCTCTTAGGGGGGAAAAATAATTAATAATAATCCAGATTTTTATCCTTCTTGCAACTCACGAAAATAATTTTCTTTTTTTTTTTTCCAGAGCGGATCCCTCGCCTGGGACTTTGAAAGAGCGACTGATCCCCGGGTGCATCTTTAGTGGGGAATCCTTGATTTTTTTTTAATTTTTATTATTATTATTATTATTTTTTGCTCTCTCCAAGATCTGGTTTAAAGAAGCTGCAAACTTTGACGCTTGGCGCGGGCGCCCCCTGCTGGACACTGCTGGAGAATGGCTGCCCAATGACTGCGCCGGGTTCAAATCCGGCTCTGCGGCCAGCATGGAGAAGACTTACTCCTTGACCGCTCACTACGATGAGTTCCAGGAGGTGAAGTACGTAAGCAAGTACAGTAGCAGCGGGGCACTGCCCAACGGCTTCAACTTGCAACTGGGCACCGCCGGAGCCAAGAAACCTCGCTGCGGCCTGCCACGTTGGAGCCGGAGAGAGATCTGTTTGCTCTCCGGCTTGGTTTTTGCAGCGGGCCTGTGTGCCATTTTGGGATGCATCTTGGTACTCAAGTATCTGGCTTTGGATCAGGCGGCCTACTGCTTGGAAGGATGCCAAGAACGCCGGGCCTTCACCAAGGCTTCTCGGTTCATCGCCACCAACATTGATCCAACCATTGACCCTTGCAAGGACTTCTACTCCTTCGCCTGTGGCGGCTGGTTGCGCCGGCACGGCATACCGGAGGACAAGCTCATCTACGGCACCATTGCCGCCATCGGCGAGCAGAACGAGGAGAAGTTGCAACGGTTGCTCCAGCAACCCGTACGGCGTCCTTACCGGGCCTCGGCCGAGCGGAAAGTCAAGGAGTTTTACCGTTCCTGCCTGGATATGACCGAGATTGACCGCCTGGGTGCCTGGCCGATGCTGGAGGTCATTGAGGACTGTGGAGGATGGGATATGGGGGCCCTGGGAAAACAAGGCCGGTGGGACTTGGACGAGCTGTTCTACAAGACGCAAGGAGTCTACAGCACCACCGTCTTCTTCGCCTTGACGGTCAACCTGGACAGCAAGAATTCCTCCCGCTACATCATCAGGGTAAGTGGATGCCACAGATTGGGACCGTGACAGCCACCGTGGGTGGATCAGGAGAAAAAGAGGTGGGGGGGGGCAAGAGAAGGGAGGACCAGAACTCTGAGGATCAAGTGAGTCTATAGATCTCTTGGGTATATTGGAGGATCCCCTTCCCCATTGCAGGGACATCTCAACCCTCTTTGCATGCAACTGAACCTCAACCTGCAGGGACTAGCACCGTATGTCTCAATTTTAAGATGTGTGGACTTCAACTCCCAGAATTCCCTCAACCAGCAATAGCATAGCTGGTTGACTGGGGAATTCTGGAAGTTGAAATCCACACATCTTAAAAACTGCTGAGGTTGAGAAAAACCCAGGTCTAGTCATTTGGCTCTTTTGAGAGCTATGTCGACCTCTAGTGGCTGTTTCACGAATTACACCAGATGGTTTGTATGACACAATATCCCTATTTTCTCTTGATAAATGTTTCATGTACGACTCCTTTGTGCGTTGGGAACATACAGCAGCACCCTTGAATGCAGATGCTCGTGTGTTTATACAGCTTTTTTTTTTCTCTGTTGGCGTTGATTTTTTTTTAATGCCATCTGAACTCGCCCCTCGCTCTCTTCCCTTTTCAATAAGTGATCGGTCCAGTTGAGATTATTCTCAGTTTCCAGCAGTTAGAAACGGCCTTCTCTCTCTCCCAACATTGGCAAAAGGATGCACCCCTTTGCACACGTATGTCCACAGGGAAAAGCCCCGGGGAAAAAAAGCGATGTCACACAATGTCATAATGTCGTTGTGATTTTTACCAACCGTCTACACATTTGTCATTGCAACTGGACAGAAAACCAGCAGATGTTATGAAGCCAATCCTACCAAGTATCTTTCTATTTCTTCAGCCTCTTGGGAAAACTCCTGCCGTGTCAGGAGTTCAGTTTTCTCAATATTGATGATGCTTAGACACATCCTAGACTGCTCCATCACCAGAAGGGAAGACCTGAAACAATGGAGGGAAACTAATCAAGGAGATCTAGGCAGCATACTAAAAAGCAGAGGCATCACCCTGCCAACAAAAGTGAGTATAGTCAAGGCTATGGTTTTCCCAGTTGCAATGTATGGTGGTGAAAGTTGGACCATAAGGAAGGCTGAGCGCCAAAGAATGGAGGCCTTTGAACAATGGTGCTGGAGAAGACTCCTGCGAGTCCCTTGGACTGCAAGGCGATCAAACCGGTCAGTCCTAGAGGAGATCAACCTTGACTCCTCTTTAGAAGGCCAGATCCTGAAGATGAAACTCTAATCCTTTGGCCACCGAATGAGAAGGAAGGACTCATTGGAGAAGAGCCTAATGCTGGGAACGATGGAGGGCAAAAGAAGAAGAAGGGGACGGCAGAGAATGAGGTGGCTGGATGGAGTCACTGAAGCAGTCGGCGTGAACTTAAATGGACTCCAGAGGATGGTAGAGGACAGGAAGGCCTGGAGGAACATTGTCCACAGGGTTGGACATGACTTTGCAACTAATAACAACAATCGAGGAGAGAAGCAATCTGGAATTAAGGAGAAACATCCTGACAGTGAAGACAATTAACCAGTGGAACTACTTGCCACCAGAGGTGCTTCATCACTGGAGGTTTTTAAGAAGAGACTGGATACTCACTTGTCTGAAATGGTACAGGGTCTCTGCTTGAGCAGGAGGCTGAACTGGAAGACTTCCAAGGTCCTTCCAGCTCTCTTCTGATTGATTGATTGATTCGAAGCCCCGGTATTGCGCGCATTATTTCATTAATTTATTTTCCCGGTCTCGTGGACCGCTTCAGTCATCAACCACTCTCAGTGGCATTCATCCCCGCCTCGTCGACGGCGCCGCACACAATGCCCTAAAATGAAAACAAATCAAGAATATTGTGCAAACTCCAACATCCGACGCATCGGCGTTCGGAGGAGGATAATAATCGTATCTTCCCTTTGTTCCTAAGCAGATTCTCCCAATTTGGAATCCTCCAGATGTTGTCGGCTGCCACTCGCGGCCCTTGTAGCGTGACAGATTGTCAGGATGCAAACGGGGAGGCGGGGGGGGGAAGCTGACTTTTAGGATCCCAGGGGTGGTGAATCCGACGCTGCCTTTCTCCTCTGAGTAACCCTATCTTCCGTACTCGTAGGTTACGCGGTCCAAACTCCCCAGCTAGCTCCTCAACCCAGCAGCACAGCGCTTTTAACACTACTGGGAGAGCTTTGTGTAGAAAGGATTTGAGGAAGGGGGGGGCTCTTTCGTTTTGCAGACTAGCCCCTGGCGGATGCCCCCTCGTTTGTGGTTATGGGCGGTGAAAATCTACAAGAGTCTACAAGAGTTAAGGGGTAGATTTGCACCAAATGGGGTTAATGGGCACCCCGTAATCCTCCCTTCTGCTCGTCAAACATTATGCCCGTTTGCGCGCAGCGAAATCCATCTTTCGACGCGAACCAAGGTTTTGCGCAGATCGAATTCAGACAATTCAATCTGCCCAAAACCTCGGTGGGCTTCTGTTGCACCGAAGATGGTTGTTTACCGGGTGGGGGTGGGGACGAAAAGGCACTTAGGGGGAAGGGAAGTGGGGAAGGGTCCCGTTTCTCCGTTTGGCCCCTTTAGTGCTAAAACCAGACAGATTTGGAAAAAAAAAAATCAGGCACCTTCTGAAGTGCAACTTGTCTTTGGATCAACACAACACTTTGGGACCGTTGCAATTTTCTCGTCATTAGCTGTGATGGCCGGTTAGCAGAGAGCAGAGGCAGCTCGGATCATATAAAGCAGGCAAGAAACGGTATTTTATAAGCAGCCGATCACGTCTCCCGCTGGGTTTAACCTGGTGATTGAATGGTGTGCACACAAAGCATCGAATTGTTAGTTAACCGTACGGTCTCCGCGGGATAGACACAAGCTCACAATTCTGCCCCCCCCCACCCCAGGTTATAAACCTGAGATTAATGGTCGGTTTATTGATTAATTAAGCATCGATCTCGTTGTTGTTAAAATTGACCAGTTAAAAGAGAGATGGCTGAAATGTCTAAGTTACAGAGCCAGGGTTTCCTGGAAACTTGAAGATGGGTGGATGGATTTCAGGGCTGGCTGGGGAATTCTGGGAGCTGAAATTCCTGCAAGCAAAGTAAGGAATTCTGGGTGTTGAAATCCATGCAAGCTGGCTGGGGAATTCTGGGAGTTGAAATTCCTGCAAGCAAAGTAAGGAATTCTGGGTGTTGAATTCCATGCAAGCTGGCTGGAGAATTCTGGGAGTTGAAATTCCTGCAAACAAACTAAGGAATTTGGGGTGTTGAAATCCATGCAAACTGGCTGGAGAATTCTGGGAGTTGAAATTCCTGCAAGCAAACTGAGGAATTCCGGGTGTTGAAATCCATGCAAGCTGGCTGGAGAATTCTGGGTATTGAAATTCCTGCAAGCAAACTGAGGAATTCTGGGTGTTGAAATCCATGCAAGCTGGCTGGAGAATTCTGGGAGTTGAAATTCCTGCAAGCAAACTGAGGAATTCTGGGTGTTGAAATCCATGCAAACTGGCTGGGGAATTCTGGGAGTTGAAATTCCTGCAAACAAACTAAGGAATTCGGGTGTTGAAATCCATGCAAGCTGGCTGGAGAATTCTGGGAACTGAAATTCCTGCAAACAAACTAAGGAATTCTGGGTATTGAAATCCATGCAAGCTGGCTGGGGAATTCTGGGAGTTGAAATCTGTGCATGCTGGTTGGGGAATTCTGGGAGTTGAAGTCCACCCAGCATAAATTTTCTGACTTTGGGAAGCATTGTTCCAGAGAGAGGGAGGATCTGTCTAACTTAAGCATCCTGGCTGGGGAATTCTGGGAGTTAAAATCTATTCATGCTGGCCAGGGAATTCTGGGAGTTGAAATTCCTACAAGCAAGCTGAAGAATTCTGGGTGTTGAATGCTTTTGCAAGTCAGCTAGGGAATTCTGGGAGTTGAAGTCTATCCATCTTAAAATTGCTGAGCTGGGGAAGACTGTTCTAGAGTGATGGAAGATCTGTCTAAGTGAAACATATTGGCTGGGGAATTGTGGGAGTTGAGGTTTTGCCCTTAAAGAGCAGTGCTGTCCATCAAACTGTCAATCTGTTTGACAGTCCGTGCAAACCCCATTTCTGGGCAATTCTCTTGTGCCAAAATGTGCCCCCAAAGGCTACATATCCGCTCTACAGTCTATGGGAGATTCTCAGTCATCCAGGTCAGGGGTCTCCAACCTTGGCAACTTTAAGACTTGCGGACTTCAACTCCCAGAATTCCTCAGGGAGACCCCTGATCCAGGTCATGGTTATCCCAAAAGTCCTTTTTTAAACATCAACTGAATTCTTCCACTCAGTCAGAACTGAAGAAGCTTTTTTGGCTGAGAAGGAAAACGTCTTCAAAGGAAAACAAAGAAATCGCCTTTTGAAAAATCAGCTTTACGCAATAACCCTCCGTTGTTTATTTATTTATTTTTCAAATATTCCAAATCTGTCAACAACTCAAGACCGCTAATTTTTTTGCAGAGAAGAGAAACGTATTAGAAACAGAAATCATTTGTATTTTATTTTTATTTTTTTTCCCTCTTGAAGATCGTTCTGTACAATCCAAGTCTGTAAACGCTTTTCAGCCTCAGATCTGGAAAAATTTTCTTTCAAGCTTCAGCCTTGGGTATATTGGTTGATTTTCTGCCATCTGGATGGAGCCTCGCCATGCTAAATTCGATTTGTATATAGTTATAAAGCCATTATTGTTGGTAATAACAAACTTATATAAACCATATTCTAGGAAACATGGTAGGCATAAGAGGAGAAATATAAATAGAAGCCGGGAAAAACAGGGAAAGGAAAGAAGGGGAACACAAAAAAATTAAATTAAATTGAATTTTAAAAGCTAGAAGAAAGGAGCGAAGCAAAGAGGAATGGAATATTCTGTAATTTCACGACATTTCCCCATAATAAATGTTTAATTCTGGAGCCGTGTATTAAAATCACTACAATTCAAATCTTAAGTGCGGAATTCAA